GGAAAGGTGAATGCTGGTGTCAGGGATGAGGGTGGGGGGGGGGAACATGGGTAGCAGAGAAATATCATAGAAAGGGATTTGTGGCTGTGGGAAAGAAGGTTCTAATACCATAAACCTTATCCTGCCAGCCAAAGGGATTTATTCTATGAGAAGTGCATGTGAAGAATGGTTGCCACTGTTATTAGATTGACAAAGTGTTCATTTCTCTGTAGGCTATAATTTTAAATTACTTAAGGGTTATGCTGCACTAGTATTCCTTAGAGGAAACCGTTTCTTAAAGCTAGGAGAGGGAGTAGGCATGTGCTGGCAAAGGCTGTTACATAGAAGCAATGGAGTCTGTTATGCTAATAGTGTTAAGACTGCTTTTCTTTAACGTTTTCATGGTTATGCACATTTAGAACAATATTTTATTTGCCCCGTTTTGTTAAAAAATTTTGCATTTCTAAAAAAAAGCAACCCCTTCTGAAATTGTTCTGTCACAGCTTGTATATTAAGTCATTTGTAAATCTCTTCATACAGTAGTAATTTTTTTCGACTGATGCAGTATCTTAATGACAAGATTATTTTGTACCTGTCCTAATACCTTGAGTGTAATAAAAACAGCATAAGAAAACTTTGTGACTTAAGTGCTGCTTAACTTTGCTTTTCCTTCTGGCAAGAGGTTGCCTAGAGGTAGAAGTCACATGTTCTCATTTTCAATTAAGGTCTTCAATCCTAATGATTTAAGCCCCAATTACTAAGGTTTGGATTAGAATTCCACTTTTGTTGCTACTAAAGCTAGGCAATGAGAGGGCACAGTGGTGGGGATAAGGAAGCCATGCGGAGGAGTGGTTCTCAAGCCGGAGCACATTTGCAGTCTGACCTCACCTCCAGAGACTGAGTTGGACGTTCACTCGGGCACTGGACTTTTAAAAATTCCCCAGGTGGATCAAATGTCCATTCATGGCTGAGAATTAGATGCTATCTTGGATCCTCTCCCTAGTGGTCTTGTGAATCTGCACATTTCATATTAAAGCAGACTATGGGAGAAAGTACATGGTTGGCCAATCACAAGAATTAAAGTATTTTCAGAAAAGATAATCCTTTGCTGTATCAAATAAAGAGGTTCTACCTTGTAGTTAATATTTCATCTAGAAAAGTTCATCAAGTCCCCTTTACTATGTTTAAAAATAAGAATATTAAACATTATACTCAAATTCTCCTAGTTACCTTTAGGGTCCATTCAGATCTCGTAAAATCCCCCTGCACCAGGGCCTCAACTTCTAGTAAAGACACAGAGACTTTCTTGACTTAAAAAAAAAAAAATCATGCCAATGAGGCATTGCATTTTTTCTTCCCTCTTAAAAAACATCATCTGGCATACAGCCCAAAGTGGGAGAGCTTAAAGTTCTTCAGCAGTTCCATGTTCATAATCTGTGTGGTGGATTTCTAGTTCAAATGGTTTATTACTTTAGTGAAAGCCATGAAAGATTTTATGAATGACTAGAAATTTCAAATAAGTACTGCAGAAAATGAAAGTGGGAAGGAATTTCCAAAAACTGGGCTTTCCTTCTCATGTCTTTACTTTTTTATTGTACTTAACATTTATGAGAGTGTCTTCCCCCACAAGTGCTAGAACACGAGCATTCTCATAAACCCTCATGGAAACAGCTGATTCTAAACCTGGCACCTACAAAGACAATTTCCTCTGGGGTCCAAAATGGAGGGAACTAGAACTGGGGAGACATTGAAGGGCAGGGGTAGAGAGAATAAAGTCTCAGATCTTTGTCCTTGGATCAGGGGAGCTTACCAGAGTTTCTTCCAGTGAGGTCAGGGAGATAAATGAGCTGGCCCAATAGGCTCACACAGATGTCAGTGCATTCACTGCCAATCCTGCTAGGGGAAATGAGGTATCCCTGGGTCCCTTAGCGGTTGCCAGTTAACCAAAAATAATACCAAGGTTTATACTTTGGAAAAAGAGCTTTACTTCTCATGAAGAGCAGCCATATGCTGGGCAGCCAAGCTCCCTGCCCTGGTCCTGTCACTGCAGCTTTTTAATCTTTGCTGTAACTGACATTCTCTTCTGGGAATTCCCCATCCACTGACAAGAATTCATCTGCCCCCAACCTCCCTGTTTTTTTTGTATCTCATGTTGTCACTTTTTGTAGTTACCGCTTCTAAGAACTTAAAAACATTTTCCAAAGATTTCCCCCAAAACAGTTCTGGACATCTAGGTAGCATTTGACTTCTGATTCTTCTAGGTGATCTCATGTATTATACCACCACACTGATTCTACATGTAGATATTCTGGAGAATTTTACTTTGTATCTAAACTTACTTTCTCTGAATTTCTCTACGCATCTGCCCATGTGCTGAAATTAGAAACTTGAGTTATCCTCTCCCTTCCTTTGGCTGACTAGTTTTTCCCATTCCAACTCTGACTCACTCTCTGTTGTGATTTAGAACCTCAGAAAGGTTGGAACTGTTTTCTTTCTCTAAAATATAGGTCTGCTCTTGTTCCTTTCTGTGTGGTGCTTGCTGCCCCAAGATGGAAAGGGCTGTGGAAAGATGACTTGGGAACCTGCAAGATCATTAAGTCCTAGGTTCATTTCCTCAGTTTGCAGGAAGGAAATATGGTATCTGTACTTCATTCAGCTACTGGGAAAATTAAATTAAAAAGAAAAATATACACATTGGATACATAGTGTATCAGTAACTGCTAGCTACTTTTTTTTTAGTCAATCTTTTTAAGTTTCACCTATAAGGTCTCTGGTCAAAGTATCAATTACTCAAGCCCTATATTGGCCCAATCCAAATTAACCTTTCCTTAATGATGGTAGCACTATGTCTAGAGCTCTATTATAAACTTTAGCACCACAATATATTTAATCGCTCATATACAGATTTCCTCCAATAGATCTGAGGGCAGCGATTAAGTTTTGTTTGCATCCTTTATAAGATCTTTTTTTTTTTTGGTAGAGACAAGAGTTTTACTTTATCGCCTGTGGTAGAGTGTTGTGGTGTCACAGCTCATAGCAACCTCCAAATCCTGGGCAGGTGATTCTCTTGCCTCAGCCTCCAGAGTAGCTGGGACTACAGGCAGCCGCCATAACACCCAGCTATTTTTTTTGTTGCAGTTTGCACGGGGCTGGGTTCAAACCCGCCACCCTTGGTATATGGGGCCAGTGCCCTACCCACTGAGCCACAGGCCCCGCCCCCTTTATAAGTTCTTTAACAATAGGTTCAAATCATGTGTTAATAATATAGCTCTTATCCTTTTAATTTTTTCTTTAAATGAGAAAACTAGTCAAATTAATCCACCTAAAACAAGCTAAAATTTGAAAGCCCTAAATAATTCCAAAAGTGAAATCTCAGGGAAATAATCTACCACTATCTTTTTTTCTTTTTTTTTTTTGAGATAGTCTCACTATGTCACCCTTGGTAGAGTGCCATGGCATCACAGCTCACAACAACCTTCAACTCTTGGGCTTAAGTGATTCTCTTACCTCAGCTTCCCGAGTAGCTGGGCCTACAGGCTCCCACCACAATGCCTAGCTATTTTTTGGTTGCAGTTATCATTGTTTAGCAGGCCTGGGTTGGGCTTGAACCCACCAGCCTTGGTATATGTGGCCAGCACCCTACTCACTGAGCAATGGGAGCTGAGCCAATTTACCACTATCTTGAATTTTATGTAAAGGAAGACAGTTTTGTTGAATCATGTATTTTCATGAAAATAATTTGTTCTCTTTTAGATGGAACACAGATGAGATCTTTTAATAAGTCAGTCTAAGTTAAAATATGGTTTTCATCAGTATAAACATTTTATTTCAGTTGAAGGTAGTAGAAATACAAAATAAGAAGATTTGATAATTATAAAGTAGAGATAATGAAAAATCCCACCTTATTTTTAGATCTTTAAAACTTTGAACAATGTTCTGATGGATTTTTATGTAAACTGGGAATTTACACAACACTAGTATCTTGGCAAGTCACTTTTTCTCAATGCTATATAACCCATTCACCATATATTAAATTCTCAATTTCTTCAAAGTGCTATTACTAATAACAGCATAAGTTACAGAGCAATTTTAAAAAGACAATACAAATTAAATTGTCATGTCCTCCATGTCTCCAATTACTATGTTAAAAAATAAAAACTACAACAGTGAACTTACATCAGTTCTCTACATGATTCATTGGGAGCTAGGTATCTAACATCAATAACCTTCATTCTTTTTTTATTTATTTTTTGAGACAGAATCTCACTTTGTCACCCTTAGTACAGTGCTGTGGCGTCATAGCTCACAGTAACCTCAAACTCTTGGGCTCAAGTGATTCTCTTGCCTCAGCCTCCCGAGTAGCTGGGACTATAGGTGCCTGCTACAACGCCTGCTGTTTTTAGACATGGGGGTCTCACTCTCGCTCAGGCTGGTCACTAACCCCTGAGCTCTAGCAATCCACCGGCCTCCCAGAGTGCTAGGATTACAGGTGTGAGCCACTGCACCTGCCTATAACCTTCATTCTTAAGCATGAACATCTTCATGCTAAGTTAATTAGTACTTTTTAAAGCTTTATTCTAACATCTGGGCAGTAATAAACATTTAAAACCATAAATAATGTTAAAATTAGTTATGGTAACAATTCATTTGGTAATCAGTTGCCCAAGATGTACAGTGGAGTCAATATAAGTAGCTTTAACTTATAACATGCTCTGCAAAAAAGGGAAACATCATGTAAATATTTCAGGATATCAAACTAGCCTAGCATTCCACTCAATGAATCTATGCCCCTCATTTTCCCCACCTAGTCTAAGTTCTCTTATCCCTTTATCAAAGACATCTCACAGTGATGACTCAGTCTAATTTTTAATCATATGTACTTTTTATACAAAATGGCCCCTAAATAGAAGCCAACTCTATATACACAAAACCATGTAAACAGTGCTTCTAGATGATTTAGGTAATTCTGACTACACACAATTCTTACCAAATGCCCTGACAAGCACCAGATTCTGCTGCAACATGTTTTTAGAGATTTAATTTCATTCTGATTGTTGTGTTTTCTATCCTGAAGATCTCTATCTTCATTTGAAATTGACGTTTGGTAAGTATTAAATATAAATCCAGCAATTTTTGAGATTTCTCCATCACTGAAGTTGTGTTATCTTGATGGGAATAACACTATTAAAGTCCAAGAAAAAAGGTCCTTCTTGTTTAGGTAAAAAAGTACTGGGAATGATATTGAAGATCCCAGCAGGTATATTTTCTAATTCCAGGTAGCAAAACCCACACCTATATTCAAGGAAAATGAGAATAAGGTTTATAGAAGATAATGTTACGAACAGTGAATATAAATTAGATACAGTCAAAATGCCAACATTACCTATAGTCACCACTAGATTTCCTTGGAAAGCCATGGGGACCAGGATCTCCCACCATAGAAACTGTTACAACTTCAAATCCAACGCTGTATTGCCTAGCATTTAAAATAAACAGAATCACTATATTATTAAATAGTCTCAAATATATGATTTAAAATAATTGAAGTACAGATGTACTATTACGTATGTTTCTGAAGCTTCAGTGGGGGAGAACAATACTCTGAAACATGAATTCAAATTTTTATCTTCAAACAAGATACCATTTATATGTTTTAATGGAAAGCAGGAAGATTAATATAGTATTAAAACTTACTTTTGGGTGGCACCTGCAGCTTAGTGGGTAGGGGGCCGGCCACATACACCCAGGCTGGCGGGATTGAACCTGGCTAGGCCAGCTAAACAAAAATGACAACTGCAACAACAACAACAACAAAAATAGCCGGGCACTGTGGCTGGTGCCTGTAGTCCCAGCTACCGGGGGGGCTGAGGCAGGAGAATCACTTAAGCCCAAAAGTTTGAGGTTGCTGTGAGCTGTGATGCCACAGCACTCTGTGCAGGGAAGCATAGTGAGACTTTGTCTCAAAAAATAAAATAAATGAATAAATAAAACTTACTTTAAAAAAAGACTTTTTACCACTCACTCCTAAGAATAATTTAAAGGGCTCAGCACCTGTAGCTCAGTGAGTAGGGTGCTGGCCACATACACCAAGGCTGGCAGGTTTGAGCCCAGACTGGGCTTGCTAAACAACGACAACTGCAACCAAAAAATAGCTGGGCGTTGTGGTGGGAGCCAGCAGTCCCAGATACTCAGGAGGCTGAGGCAAGATAATCACTTAAGCCCAAGAGTTGGAGGTTAGTGTGAGCTGTGATGCCATGGCACTCTACCAAGGGCGACACAATAAGACTCTGTCTCAGAAAAAAAAAAAGAATTTAAAAGATAAATGTTGTCACTTAAATTTAAAAACTAAAATACTGTCATTGCAATAGGCAGAAAAGCCCATGGAACAGGAAACCAAGCCTTGAAGTAAAATCTAACTTTATAGAAGTAGTTAACATATGATAGACATGGCATTCCAAATCACTGAGAAAGAATTCACTCAGATGGTGATCAATATTTTGAAAAATATTATTAAATTACACACCAAATATAAAAATATATTCATGGATTAAAAAATTCAATGGAAAAATTTAACCATAAAGGAATAATAAGAAAATATGGGCCGGGCATGGTGGCTCACACCTGTAATCCTACCATCTGAGAGGCTGAGGTGGGTGGACTGCCTGAGGTGACAGGCTGAAGACCAGCCTGAGCAAAAGAGAGACCCCATCTCTAAAAAGAGCCAGGCATTGTGGTGGGCACCTGTTGTCCTAGTACTTGGGAGGCTGAGGCAAGAAAATCGCTTCAGTCCTAGAGTTGGAGGTTGCTGTGACTGAGGACACCACGGCACTCTACCCAGGGTGGGTGACAAAGTGAGACTCTGTCTCAAAAACAAATAAAAGTACAGTTAACATTTATTTAATAATGGGATTATTAAATAAGAGACTTCCTATTCATAGCAAAAAGAAAGTAGAAAAGACAGATTTGACTGCTTTAAAATGAAATTCTTTTTCCTCTACAGAAAAAATGATAATCTAGGGAAAATATCTGCAAATATGTGAAGGAGTTAACATCTTTACCTTAGTCATACTTATAGTTAAAAAATGATAACTCTAACAGAAAAATGGGCAAAAAACATTAAGTAATAAATACAAGAAAAAAGATTGCCAGTACACATTTTTACATGATAAATTTATCTAGACATTAAATAAAAAACCAGCAGAGGTTTTTAAAATTTGTGGAAAAATAGCTTAATCATATTTTCATATCTAAAGGACTATTAATTGCTTTTGAATTAGTTTGTGAGGACTATTCATTGCTTTTGAATTAGTTTGTGAATTTTGTAAGCAAAATTAAGCCTAATCTTATTTAGAAGGCAGTACTATTTTTATTTGTATTCTCTGTATTTTTTAAACCTTATAAAGTTACAAAATATAACACAAAGTAAATAAAACACACATATGGGCAGCCCCTGTGGTTCAAGGAGTAGGGCGCTAGCTCCATATACCAGATGGGCAGGTTCAAGCCTGGCCCAGGCCAAAAACTACAAAAAACCACCAAAACCACACATATATCTTAACGAATATTTGTAAGGCGAATAAATACTTGGGTAACCACCACCCAGAAATCAACCAAGCCCTCTTAGCACCGCAGAAGTATCTTGCATATGCCTTTCTGATTGCAGCTCCTGTCTCTGACAGAGCTAACTTTTATGATAATCATTTTCTTGTTTTGTTTTGTAGTTTTACCACCTTAGTGTGTACCCTTAAACAACAGTCATTTTGTTTTGTCTGTATTCACTTCAGAGAAGTAGAATCATACAACAAATATAGTTTATATGGATGGCTTCTGTTCAGCATTATTATTTTTTTCTAGGATATGGGGTCTCACCCTGTTGCCCATGCTGGTGTTGAGTGGCATGGTCACTGCTCTGTGCAGCCTCAAATTCCCAGGCTCAAACAAACCTCCCACCTCAGCCTTCCACATAGCTGGGACTACAAGCTTGTGCCACTGTGTTTGGCTAATTTTTATTATTTTTTGTAGAGATAGGTCTTGCTATGTTGCCCAGGTTGGTCTCAAACTCCTGGCCTCAAGCTATCCTCCTGCCTTGGCCTCCCAAAGTGCTAGGATTGTAAGGGTGAGCCACTGTGCTCAGCCTCAGCATTGTTTATAAGATTCATCCATCACGTTCTGTGTAGCTGTAATTCGTTCACTTTTATTGTTACATTTCATAACCTTAAATGTCATTGGTAAACATTTCTGTATATTATGATGGTTTGTTGGCCATCTGGATAGCCCCCTTTTGGACATGTTTTTGTTTATTTTAAAAAATCTGCAGACTGTAATGTACTTGGAATTTATTTTTAGACTTGATGTGAGATGGGTCTAAATCATTATTTTTTATACATGAATACTCAATTATTCCGTATCATTTAGTAAAAAAAACTGTCCTTTACCCACTCCTCTACAATGCCATCATTTATCATAAATTAAATGTCTACATATGCTTAGGTCTATTTTCAAACTTTGTTCTGTTCCATTATGTTCATTTTTAATATTACATTATTAATTTAAGAAAGTTACTCATGGCTCGGCGCCTATAGCTCAACCGGCTAAGGCGCCCGCCACGTACACCTAAGGTGGCGGGTTCGAA